ACAGACAACCTCTCGTCAATATGCGTTTTTTGCATTGCATTACTGCAAAAAACGCATAAAAATTTAAATGAAACAAAATTAATTTGGAGTTAGAGTTAACCCCTAATGAATTATTAAAATGAGGAAGAATCTTACCTCACATGGTGGCCCAATAAGTGATAAGAGTACTGGTAACAACATGAGCCCGTTGATGAGACCAATGAGTATGAGCGCTGATAGTACAATGAAAAAATATTTTACGATAAATTCAAATTCCGAAAATGCTAACATAACAATTCCTGAAATAAAAATTACACTTTTTTTTAATTTCAGCATAATTACTTCCGAACGTCTTTCAAAATTTCTTTTGAATACGGAGAGGGTTTTGAATTTCTGACTTTCAAGTTATGGCTAGACCTAAAAGCTCGATTTAGGTACCGTCTGTGCTTTGGACCAGATTTGTTGGTTGGACATTACTAACGAGCTTTTGAACCGCTTTAACTGTTAAATGTTAGGAAAATGCTAAGAAACCCAATAGTTCTTATTTTTAAAACGGAAGTTTTGACTTATAAGGAGCCCAAAATGAAAGCACACATCTTAACTGCATGTCTTTGGCAACAATACCAAAATATATTCTACTAAAATTTCAGCTTCCTAGCTTTTCTGGTTCCCAAAATAGCAATTCTCCTCGTAGAAACTTTCGCGGAGTCATACGTGGTACCCGAACATGAAGGCTGAATTTAAGTTTGCACCAGATCATCGATGTAGTAATATTAATGGGGTACTCATGTCATGTGCAGCTATGCTAAATCTTTCGATCCTAAGCTACGTACTATGACTTTGGATTAATACTATCAATTAATCCGATCACATAATTTGATACATTTGTTTATCTTCGTGGAGTTGCTGATGAAAAAAGTACAAACCTAAAAGTGTGGACAGTCCACCATGTATTACAGGAATAAACATGTGCTCCATACAAGATCCCATTCGGTCATTTCTGCTTCCCAATGATGTTAAATAGGCCAGAACAACATGCGCCGTGAATTCCACTCCTCAAAAATGAGTCAATTCACATACATTTTGAAGCAAGAATCTTGAGAATCCACTGTTCTGTGCATTCTGCATATAAATTATTTTTCGCATTCGAGCAGTCTCTCAACTCATTTTAATTCTTTAAAATTAATTTGTAGTCCGTGATAAGAACTAAAACGCCTTCAGCGACATTTCCAGCAATCGAGAAAACAGCCAACATTCCTGCCCCGAACAGAGCCCCTTTTTGCAAATGATTGTGAACTGGGGTGGAATCGAACCCTTTACATATTTTCATTATCTCCAGATCCTTCGAATCATGATGTGTTATCCACTACACTACCGGCCCTAGTGCTCCGCTTACCAACTGAAGCATTTATGCAATTCTGTATGTATGT